GTCTACTGCACTAGTGAAATGAATAGAGTTACCCTGTCATGTGTGCTAGAGAGCTACTTACCGCCTTTCAGCATCTGAAAGCGGTGCAATAAAATCTTCCTTCCCTTTTTGCTTTAAAAGCTTACAAGGACACAGCCATTCATTTCTTTTTCAGCTGCATAATTTCTGTGAAAGAGTCTTCCAGAGAAGACACCATGAAAAGGAAAAGACAGGGAAAAGGTGAAGATGCATACCGATTCCTGAGGAATTCCAACTACCTAGAAGCAATTTCTTTTTGGTTCTGTAAGCAACATGCCACGTGCACACTTGCAGTGCAAGTGAGCCGTAACGACAGGATTTTTTGAGATGGACCCCAGATTTCTGCACACAACCTTAACAAGTCAACTCAAAATGTCCATTCTGCTCCACATTTTTCAGCAACAGTGGAGCGATACCTTTGTCCCTGATAGCTGCTGGTCAAGGAGTTGAACGTTGGCACGCTCCATCAGAGCTCAAACTTACATAAGCAAATGCAGACAGCGGAGAGGAAGCCCACTGTCTCCTTTCAGTGTCTGCATAGAGATGGCCATATTTTGGTAGTCAACAAGTACAGACAGAGCCTTTGGCACAGTCTGAAGGATCATATCCTAGATTTCCTAGAGTAGAAAGTCATGACTATTTTGTCATGAGTATCACAGGGATACCTTATTCCCTGCTCAAGCAGTACAGAAGGTGTGAGGGAGGGAACAAGAACCCTCAAGAAGTTGGATGCCTCCCTAACTAAATCAACTGCCATCAGACAGAACACTTTTACAGAGAGGTGTGCACAGCAAACTTGTCACCAGGTACTCAGAGCACCGGGTGTCATGAGCAATAAACCGATCCCACAGCAGTCTGAGACCCTAAGCACACAGGAAAACTTTAACCCAACCTTTTCAGAGCTTTAGACAGCTGGGTTTGAAAGTACCAACACTTCAGCAGGGTAAGGGGAAGACAAACTAAATACAACTTACACTCATGGCAGACTTTCAGCTTTAGCATTTGGTTCAGAAGGACTAAAAGTCTGCGTACACCTGCACGAACAGCAGACTAAAGACAACCAGGTTCTCTCAGAAAATTTACAGCTATTGATTAGAAGCATCTGCATTGTGCACAATCAGACATCCTGACACAATGAGCCATCGGCATCTGTGCTGCGAGAAACTCAGCAAGACTAGAGTGGCACAAAGGCCTGGATTTCTGCATTAACAGATAATGAAGGAGGAGAAATGCTTTAAAAATGTTCACCTGTAAGAGGAGTCCAGCACAGCACATTGGCTAGAAACCCAGACCCCAGAATCTGGATGTCCCAGCGAAGTCAAGCACCTCCAATGCAAAATATGGTACGGGACATATTTCTTCTGTTGAATCATCTATGATAGCAGGCAGTGCCTCCAAGAAAGAGGACATTTAACACTGTACACATCGCTGGGTAGGAAATCAGTACAGAGCACAAGTTTAGCACCACTGTGTCTGAAGTCAGTGCTAGAGGGCTACAGTCTAATCAGTGCAGACTGATCGGACAAACCCCAGTACTTTTCCTTGCTCTCCTTGCCTTGTAAGCCAAAGCCACTGGAAGAGAGGATTTCATCAGCTGAATTGGGTCCATAGCTACTCACAAGCCTCAGCAATTACCACAAAAGGCCAGGAGATGCAACAGTGAAAAGTTACATCTCAGACTTGACACTGCGCCATACTATATTGGGAAGCAACCTTCTAATGTTTCCCCAGGGCTCAAAGCCCCAAGGGATGGCTAGTGCTAGTCTTAAGATCTGACAGAAAGAACATCATCCAGTATGAGTTCTATAGTTCTCTTATGAAAATCCTGGATGTCCAAGACATACTCACCATAAATACAAGTACAGTGAGCAACAAAGCAACAATTCAATATTTGCCCACTGACCCTGAGTACCAATTCACTCATCAGAAGTTAAGCAAAGCCATGTCTGGAAGTTCTTAGGAATGCAATACAGAAGTTGGAGAATGAAGAGACCAGCACCCTATCTTTCCAGTATGATCAGGAAGAGCTGAAGGAGCACTGCACCCTGTCTAATGTTCATCTACTGTGCATAAGCTTCTCTTTACAGCTACTGCAAAAAACAGAAAAAGAAATTATCACGTCTCAAACAACAAAACAAATGCATAGTCATACTTTTACCAACTGCTATAATCCATGTGTACACAAAGCAGAAAATTCATAGTAAGGAATGTAAACTGACACTATGGTTTGCTGCTGTTTCAACTTCCTACAGCATTCATCAATAACAAAACAAAGGGTAAGTAGTCTAGTGGTTTCAAAGAGTTTCTCTAAATTTTATAAACACAATCCAATACATGGAACATAAGATTGTTCAGTACCATGCTGTAGTTGAAACAAAACCCAACAACATATATACTTTGATCATAATGAAATACTTTGCTCAAACAAAACAAAACTTTGGCTTTCAAATCGATTCTTGAATCAAGTAATCAGTCTCTATAAAGCTAAGGCTAGTTCAGTAAGTCATTAAAAACTGCATTCCAGGCAGAAGACATTTTCTGCCCTACATATTTCATTAATAGAGAATTAATTGAGAAAAAATATACACATCAGTCATTGTTTTATGAAAAAAAAAAAGCATTATCAAACAAACATTTATTTCAACTCTGCAAATACAGTCAATAAAGGCAACTCCAAAGATAAAATGCTTTGATTTAACAGAATGCTATGGGGGCACCAAAGCTGTGATTTCATTGAAAAGAACTAAACTGATCTAAAAAGTCTAATTCCAACAAAATGAGAGGTTACCTCCCTCCTGTCCAGGCCACTCAACCCCACTGCGTCTTACATGCCAATATTATGACTTATCTGACCTCACAGGAATCAAGGTCAGGGAGCTAAACAGGTTTTTCTGCAGCTCTAGTTTCCTTGCTAGTCTGCCATGGGGTCAGAAAAATGCAAGTTTTCTTGCATTGAAAGTTTCTTTTCACAAGGAAAGCCGAACTCTGCCACAAGACTTCTTTTCGGGGGCAGCCAAACATCAGATCTGCTTAGAGTGAAGTTTTACAATACAGAAATCTTAATGCAAAAATGAAGGGGCACAAAGAAAAGCAAAAGGAAGAAAAAAAAGTCATACTTTTAGAAGGTTCCTGAAGAAGCCAATTCTTAGTTACTGATATTCCAAAACTATCAGTGAGCATGGAGAAGACTGGGAATTGTTCCTAACAGTGTTGCAGGTGAATGAAAAATTAGGTAGCAACAAAATTAAGTGGTCTGACCAACATAGCCCATGCAGAATTAAACACTTGCAATCACTTTAAAGAAAAGCGAGAATTTTGTCTACAGGCACTCAAGGACTCTATGCAACGCTAACGGGAATTTTACTTTTGATTCTTCAGAGGGTTGTTAAGAAAAACCTGAAGCACACAAGCATATGTTTTGGACTTTAAACTACCCAGCACTGTCAAGTTCCAAGTTAAAGTTAACCAGACTTTACCAGAGTATTCGATGCTGCAAGGAACAGTGTTAAGTAGGCTCTTAAACTTCAGGTAATGATGTGTCTTGCTTCCCATTTAAAGTATCCTTACCTCCCACGCAGACAATTTTGCGCTTATTTGAAAGTCTAAGGTGTGGATCAGCTGTGACATTTGATGAATGGCTTGCTACCGTTAAACAAGTGATCTTATTTCCTTGCAAAAGTAGCCTCCAGAGCAAGCCTCGACTTCTAAGCATCTCAAACTGTACGACAACATCTAGGCTGAACACTCAGCTATCAAAATATTCAAAGAAATCAGTATTTTATGTAACTGTTTCATGATGATTTTACACATATATTCCGTAAGTACAGTTTTAGATAGATGGCTATCACGTGAAACTTCATCTGAAAGAAAATAAGAAAACTAAAGACATGGAAATCAGAGAAGCCATTCTGAAAGTAAATTCTATGGTTTTTAATTATTCAGTTCTCGTGTCTATTCTCAAGCATATAAAATAAAGTACTAAAGTCAGTTAAGATAACACACAACGAATTCTCATGCGTTTCATCAGCTTTCATGCAGTTTTTACAGACAGTGAAGTAGTTTCAGACCTGTTTCATTATGGATTAGATAATGATCTAAGTCAGTATTGCTAGATTCCGAAATACAAGATTGAGCATGTGCAGCAGAAAATTCCACAAGGCAATCATCCGCAGGCTGAGAACAAACAAGCATGCATAGCTAGTTAACAGCACAATTACTTTTATTTACAGAAGCAACCATGCTCTCCCACTAAATCCAAGATTCCGTGAATTCTGAACAAGAATAACCAGAATTTGTAAATGAAGATTTTTAACTGTGCAAGGATTAAAACATGTTCACAGAGCAGATAAAAAGCTCCTGCAACTAAATAGATACGGCTTATGGAACCAGTTGCTCTACCAGCATTTGTTTGTTTTCGAGGAAACATTAAGTTTCACAAATCTGAACAATTCATTCCTCTCATTTTTTAGAGCTACTACTAACAATTCTATTTAAAGAACCTACAAGTTAAATTCCTGAAGAGTGATAAGGCCTACAACCATTTCAGATGCATGCCACACCTTTATTTTACTGATCAAAATCAGATCAAAAGGTTTGTTTGCATATTCAGAGCTCTGGTAGAGTCAAAAATGCTCAGACTGTAGGAAGAATAAGCAAGCTGGGGACCAAATTCAAACTAGTTTTAGAAATGCCTATTGATGTTCAAATTTAGGAACGGTACTTCTTGGAATTCTTAACCATAGTGTTAGAATTAATGACTACAAAATTAATGACTACGAAGTAGTCATTAATTCAGCCTTAAGTATTCTATCTTCCTAATACTCAATACCTAGTCTTAGCATTACTCTAGTTATATGCATACTTTTCAACAGTTTGATTATACACACACAAATATTTAATATTTCTACATTAATTGCATTCAATTAAGTATTTGCTTGAGCAGTCTACCACAAAGTAAAAATTTCTTATATACTAGATTATACCTGCAACTTTGTCCCGAATAAGTTTTGCAGATTCAACTTCGCCAATACTGCTAAATAGACTCCGTAACTCATCTTGCGTCATGTTCTGAGGAAGGTAGTTCACAATTAAATTTGTTCTACCAATATCATCCCTGCAATCTTCAGCCATGTGATCTTCATAACCATTGGACATTTTATAATATATCTGCAAAGAGAAAAATCCCAAATAAGTTCTAGATCTTTGCATTTCAATAAGCCAAACTTTCTCCACCTGAAATAAGTTTTAATGTTTATTTAAAAAAACTGAGAACAAGCAACTGTTTCAACTATGCATTTTTTCCACTCACAGAACAAAACATTATTTGTTGAAAATTCCAGAACAATTCATTCTTTCAAACTAACAAGCATGGCATTTTACAAAACTAGGTACCATTAAAGAGCTCTTAAGGGTTTGGGTTTTTTTTTTACATTAATAAAAAGCATCAAGACAGGTTTTGTACACAGTCCTGTAAACACCAAAGTATTCACAACAGCCGAATTAAAAAAAATCAGGTTCCCCATGTCCAAGCACTCAACCAGCCAGAATCAAAACTGCCACCTCAACCTTAATTCGAACCTTATGCCCATAACTCTTAAAAGACAGAGGAACAGCAGCCAGATCTACTAGACCCAGTTCAGTATTTCAACTGGGACTATTCATTTTCTAAATGTTTTCTCCTTTACACATTGCTTATCCCGCATCTTAAGGCCTTGTTATTGTTAAATGGTTGTCCTTGGGTGACTGCTTAATTGCATATATGAAACAGTCTGTACTGGAACACTAACTTTGGTGCATATTGAGTATTTGATAAAGTTTCTATTTTTGCACCTTTTTAAGGAAAGCCTTGAGAAAACGTCCAGAAATTCCATCACATGAAGATACTCTCTGCCTTAGTCAGCCATCAGCAGGGACTGAATCCTGATGTTTCAGATGCTGAGGACATCTACAACTCAAACTCACAACAGACCCAAGCTGCTCTTCTTCATGGCCTGCCAGAAGAGTAGATTTTAAAGCGCTTTTACAACTACTTTGAAACTGTCAAAATCAGGATACCCACACCCTATTCCTGCAACAGGAGAAAAATGAGGTCTAGCAGATTCAGGAAGCCTAGATTGGCATGTTCTTTCTGGAAAACACCGCCACCAGGATGCTAATTTCTTGTGTTGTTCTAGACTCTGGTTCTCAAGTTCGCTGCTGCAGATTTGTTCATCCTCTCAGTCCGAGCGCGCTATACATCTCTAGCTCCAAAACAACATAGTTTTGTTTAACAGCTCTTAAAAACAGCTGTGAAGCACACAGAATTAACAGAAAAGCTGCTAAAACCCTGAAGTTAATTCATGGCCTCCTGACGCTCAGTTCAGCACTCCTCTTAAGTCATCACTATTTGTGCATTTTACCACAGAATCCAAACACTTTGGCCTATTAGCAGCATACAGACATGTCAATTTACACCATAAAATTTCAATAACGTTTAGGTATGAATGTGTCTCCAATTCAGACTCCACCAGTAAGGGGCATAAGACCAAACACTTATTTTTGGATGAAACTAAGGCAGACTTGCAACTCTAACTTGCAACTCTAACTCCCTTCTGAAAATTTAGTGTAAACCTTCCAAGTTCAACATGAAATCTGCACCTCATTGAATCTCTCAGTGCCACCACAGAAGAATTAATTACCACAGGCTCAGAGATGAACTTTGTATTTAGTTTAATAGAACTTTTGGCCAATACACTCATTTGGCCAAAATAGTAACATAAGATGCTGTACATAAGCAACTACTATTAAAATTCCTCTAGTTGCAGTTTGCTTGAGAACCTAGCATATTATCTGAAGCAGGTATCACTAGCACAGTGCTAATCTTGCCTGAGGGGATAATCAATCCGAGCTGAATTAGAACAGTTTAAGATATTATTGCTTCTCAGCCACCAGTAAAACATCAGGTCAGGTGTTCAGAGGATGCAAAAGCTGCTAGATCACGTCAATGCAGAGTGAGCCAGCAAGCCTTCCAGTACCATGTAGTTAATACTGGCTACGTTTGCCAATTTATTTTTCCATTAAGATGGATCAGAAGCATTCATATGACCACATATGCTTCTCAAATAAGGTGACTTTGAGTTACAACCATTAACACCACAAGACAACTATGTAGCATCAGCTCACAGATTTTTGTGAAGCCACAGACACCGCTGCCCTCTATGCGAAGGGCCTGAGCAGCAATGGTACGCAGCTTTATTTTATGGATCAGGATCTACTAAAGGACGAGCCTTTCCAGGGACTACAGCACTACTGACAACTAGAAGTTGAATAATGGAAAAAGTCAGGAACAGAAACTAGAAATCCGAAGTCTAGAAAGGGAATGCTGGCTGCAGGAAGGGACTTTCAGTCCCTTCTCCAGTAGCTATTGTTAAGTCATGTTTGGCATTTATTTCATTCATTCTTCTTGCGACGGTCAGATTTTTTTAAATGGCAATAACAGAGTACACCATTTTAGAACAAACCATGACTAGACTTATGTTGAGATTTTGCACAGTATAGATTTAAATTGAATCTTTTTTTTTTTTAAGTGTTGAAGCACTAACAGCTAGCAGCTTATAGAAGGAGAGGTCTTGATCCCCTTCTCCACTGATTAGCCTTCTACCCCCCATTTCTGGGTTTCATGTGTCAACACAAGCAAGCCCCAGCACCCTTCTGCTCACAGGATAACCAATTTGTACCATGAAAGCAATGGAAAACTACACCAGCAGGGAAGCACCTTTTCTTGTGTCAGCAGTTTTAATCTGCTTTCCTTGCAGCAAGATAAGCACCAGAGCTAATGCCAGAGGATAGGAGAGCAAGAGGAGAAACTGCAAAGCTAGAAGCAGGGGAAGAGACTCCCCCCATCAGATGACTTTAAGCTGCCAGGTTGTCTCAGCTGTACTGTGAAATTATGTCATTAAATACATGTTCCCTTCCAGCTCTGTCAGAACTGTCTGAGCACAACCTCAGAAAAGTTTTGTGTTCTGCTAAATGACACTCAAACAGCTGAACTTTTTGTTCAGTGTATCTGAGCTATAAAACCAGATGATGTACGTTTTCAAAATTGTTTTAATGGAAGGCAACTTTGCTTGCCTTTGTCCTGTATAAAATTCAAGCCCTGCATGCACAACACACCAATATGTTGATGAGTATGGAAGTTGTACAGTACTATTAGAGTATTTAGTAAGCAAAGGAAGAAACATTGAGATTTTTCCAGCTTTACGAGATGAAAGTTCAAATTTCCTTCACTTCAACCAAATTTGCCCAAGATACAATACAAATCCTTCCTGCTGCCAAGATTCTCCTCCTGCCAAGTTTAAGAAGTTGCTATATATTTTAACGCTTTCCAAAACCAAAAACTTTAAAATAAAAAAATCTATTTTCCTTATCCTCCAAGCTATATCTGCTGCCTAAAAAGGAGGCACCACAGCTAGATACCAAGCACAGAAAACTCCCCAGCACACCATGATGGCAAGTTACCAGACTTATATCCGGCATTAAGCAAAACTGACAGGAGTTTGGCAAGTGGCTATCAACTTTAAATCATTTTACCACAGCCTCTAATCTCACTGTCTGCAATACTTACCATCTATATCTCCCCATGATAAACAAGGAGTGCCTAGGGCATTGTTGATTCAGAAGCAATTAGAACTGTGAAGGAAGCCTTCCATCTGCTTTTCTTCAGACATTAGAAAAAAATTATAGGAAGCCCTTGAATAAAGGCCTGGCAGACATTTTCATGGGATACCAGGAACAAAGCATGCAGAAGCGATAAAGGCATAGTAGAGAAGAGGAAAAGGAGCAGAGTGCTGATAAAGAAGATGTTCCTTTCTTACTAATCTTTCACCAAGCACTTACATGATCTACTGCAAGACTAACACTTTCTGGCCATCCTGGAAGTTAGAGGGAAAACACTTCCTCCACTGGTGGTGAACAATTCTCATGCCAGTGAGAATAAAAACAGCCCCTGAAGAACTGTTAACCTTTGCATGCTGAAAAGAATTAAAAAAAGAAAAGGCAGTATAAAATGGTCAGTATGAATGAAATGAGAAATGCTACATAAGAAAACAAGTTTTTTGTTCCGCTCTCACTGAAATATGTTGAAGGTATCTCCTGATCTTTCTTTATCAAAGAGGGAACAATCAAGTTATACCAGTAAATATTCCACACTTGAGAACCAGGCCTAGAAACTAACTTGGATCCATAACTTCATTAACTGACGTTTGTCAATCCACATTGACATAAATCAGAAGTCTGAACGCACTTACATTCTCAGCAGATGGGTCGAGGATGGAAAAAAGGCCTAACTCCTCCATTTGGGAAAGCTACCTGTAATGAAACTGGTACTTTGCAGCCTTTCCAAAAAAGGCCTTCAATTCTATGTCCCCAAAAAAAGGAAATTTTAAGACTAAGTTCCATTGCACTGCAGTTTCTAAAATGAGAATTTTTTTTTAAATAACCAACCCTGCAACAGCTTGTCTTAAAAGGCAGCCTCCTTTTTCTTCCTTGTGTAAGATGCCCTCAAACTTACAATGCCCAGGATGCACAGAGCAACCAACGGAAACAGTATGTACTGTGCCCAAATCTTCCATTAATTCTGGAGGTGCTCAAATTCACATAGCCCAACACTTTACTGCCTGCTTCAAAGATTGCTCATTCACCACCAGTCAGGTCTGCATTCTCAGGACTGGACTGAAAAAGCTCTCCAAGGTATTTTTTTCAGAAACGTTGCACTGACCATGACAATCACCTTCTCACAAAGGTGCACAATATAACAGAAGGTTTAAAAGAAAAATAACACAAGTGGTTCTGGCAACAGACCAATAAAAGCTTTTTCCAAGTGACACTCATTATCTCCATTCAGAATTCTAGGATACAGTGCTATTAAGTCTTTCACTGAGAGATGTTTGCTAAGAAGGGAGACCTGTATGAATCTAAGGAGATAATCTGAAACAGGAACATTGGCAAGAAAGGTAACTGTCTGTCTTCAAGAGAGCATATATAGGTATACTTAGATATACTTCACCTTGTTCACAGGTCTGCAAAGGCACTAGACCACTACTGGGATCACAAACTTGAATGTAGACACCTAAACAGATGACAGATGACAATGTGAGCATTTTAGCTACTGCAGAACTTAAGACGGAAAATTCTTCCAGGAGCAGTGGGCTCTGTGCTCCTTCATATCAGCAATTAGCACCTTCATTAAAATCCAGGCAGCAGGTCTTATCACTCCAGCAACTGATCTATTCTCATTCATGCAATATAGTTCTCCAGACAGTGAAAGCCATGTAGCACTGCAGGCGCACAGATGAGCACTAACACTAGCCGTGCTGAACACAAGAAGGTCAGAGCTACCTCAAACATATTTCTTTCTTTGATATCAGAAGCACACAGACTACACCAGTATCTGACACTTGGCCAAAGAGAGCCAGATGAATGCATCATTGTGGCACAGAGTTTGTGGCACCTCCACTGGAACACTGGGAATAGGCCATACTGAGCACAGCATGGTTCTCAAACCACAGTAGAACCGAGGCTGCTGACACAGGTTATTGTCCCAACACCTCAGCCTTTCTTTGCAATGAAGTGCAAGTTATCACCACCTAGGACACTCTATACAGAAGTGCTTCAGTAGACAGCATCTCACAGAGTCCCTAAACTGATGAAGTCTCCTTGTTGGGGTTAATACTGGTGAATGAACAAGGATCATTCTGGACTGAAACAAGTGACGTTGGCAGAGTTCTGCTGGTGAGCTGTCTTGATCAACTCGGACTTCAGTCTCAAGGGTTTATTCTTAAATACACTGGCTGACCTCAAGAATCTTGATGGGGTGCTTCAAGTAGAACTTCAAGGCTATATTGTTTCTTCAGCACATGGATGGTATTTGTTGACATGTTTCCCCCCCACACACACACATGGTTGACTAGGAGGCAAACAACAAATTTGGCTATCTGTCTTGGATACTGCTCTACCACTCAATTTTGAAGCTGCTGAGCAGTCTTCCTTGGAGATCACATCTGAAATAGAACAAAAAAGGACACTACTACACCAAGGGAAGTACCGAACCAATCCACACAGCTGCAAGAAGCAGATGCAGAGGTGCTGAGATGTCTACGTTTGAACACATGCCAAAAGCAATGCCACACACACAAAAGGGCCTGAAGGGCCTGCAGAGAGCCTCCACTAGTTTTAACTGTTTCAGGAAAAGTTTTCAAGAATGATCCAACACAGTATTGCCATGCAAAAACTTGCTTTGCAGCCAGCTGTCAAGACAGGATTGAGAAGCAAGAGCTTAATCACGACATAGAAGGGACAGAGACTGGGGAGAAAAAAAAAAACAAACCCAAATGTTTTCTTCTCAGAAATCACTGTAAGGAACAGAATATATTTCACCTTAGAAGCCACACCAGCAGAAAAACCTCCACTAGGCCTACATGCGTCCCAGAAAAAAGAAAGAGATTTCCCAATGCTCCACAGCCAGAATACATCCCTCTCTCTCTTCTTAATCCAGACCCCTCTACTTGACATATGCCACAGATTCTTTCTCCATAATCTCCAAGAAGACCCCTTTTATTCTTTACACAAACTCCTTTCATGTCCCCAACAGCTCTCCACATTGCAGCCCACAAGCACAGACCTCTCCATGAACATCCACACAGACTACAGGTCAATGACAATACAGTGCAAGACCCATTGCTATTTGACTCACACTGCATTCATACAATATTACTTCAAATAGCAGAAGATTTTAGTCTTGACCAAACACCAGAAGCCAATTGGGAGGGAAGGGGAAGTCACAAAATCCACAGATTCTCTCTTCAATTCAAGAATAACGTTTATACAGCATATGAGGGGGAAAAAACACTGTTTAACATAAAAGGTTATCCTAGCGTGTACATGCACAGTATAGGTCACACACTTCAAAACCTACAAGCTTAAGTCTTTGAACAGATTATTTCAACGTATACTTGCAAAGGCAGGTGATAATGCTTAAGTTTTCCTTATGAATAAAAATAACTTAGATATGAAGTAGTGTGCCTATGCTTGAGAGATGCCTGATGCTGTTTCCAAAAAGCACGTCCGTGACCACAAAGGAAGAATCTTGATCTCACCTCTTCTTGCTTGTTATGCTTGCTTAGGCTGGATGGCAGCTACTGTATTTCATGAGCATGAACCTTATGTTTCGTTGGAACAGCCATCTTCCTGAACTTTGAAGCATGACATTTGGGTACATATGAAAACTTAAAGGCAGAAAAGTGAGGCGTCACAGATTTCTTCACCCAAACTGTACTGTTACCCCATTTCTCTTTTTATTGTCCCACAGTGATAAATAAGGCCGGTATTCTCTCCCGCATGGCTGTCTCATCTGAATTCCTCTCCCCCGCAGCCGCAGTATTTTTAATTAGCAAACAGGAGAAATTTATATTCAATATTCTATTTGGTTCATTTGGCATTTGTACCCCTCTCCTCCAACCCCAAGAATGAAACCAACTCAGTCTACTGTAACATGCTAACAAAGGTCACTTAAAAAAAAAGTTCGCCTTTAGACACGAAGATTCTTTTATACTGAAACTCTAAGTAACATTGTACATGTACATTCCTTCCACACTAATGTTTAAGTTCTGTTTGTAAATCTGGCGACAAAATAGATCCTTTCTGCTTGCCAGTCCTTCAGATTTTTCAGAGTTAATAGATCTCATCTTTTTATTGATTCCTCTCCCCCTTTGCGAACCTGGAATGAAGACACTGCCCTTTTTCTTTTTAGCTTGACTAAATTTAAGATTCCAATATTTTTGTCGGTTCTGACAATCAAAATATCTCTGCACCAGAACTGGTTATTACTAAAATCTACTACTGCATTTCAACAAACTATTTCCATATGCTAAATCAATGATTTCTAGTACAACGTATTTTAAGCTCAGTTTTTTTTGTTTTGTTTTATAACATTGGGCATAAACTTAGTTTTAAGCATATTACTAGTCTAACAAATCTTAACTGTCATAATTTTAATATTTTAACAAAGTAGTTTTACATATTCTTTAACAATCAATCAGATTTGTCTATAAAGCTTTTAAATGCTTCTCTTAGTTGTTTTTATTCATGTCCATATAATGACATCATCAAAGTAAATGTTTTTGTCAATGCTTATATTGCCATTCAGAGGCAGAAGTATTTGAGGCCAAAAAATAAGCTGCATTCTTCAGAGGAACGACCTCATTTTTTCATCAGTCTGATGAACTATATGATTAATTTTGTTCCTGTGAATTGAGTAGTTAGGATGCTGTCAGAAATCAGATACAGACTGGCCATAATTACCATCCACTGCTGCTTCAACATGGAGGGGAGGATCAGGGCCTCCCGACATCATCTCTGCTTGGTATGTATGAACAAGGGCCAATTGGAAACTGTGCAGCTAAGATACTAAACATCTGCAGCTCGATCTGAGATTTCCCCATCTTTCAAGGTTAATTGTTAGCCTTGACAGAGAGAGTAGGCTACAGTGCTCTGCTCAGAGCTTCACGTCAACACCTTCCACAGTTGTTTTGTCCCTGGGTCAAAGATGCTGACAGTTAACATAACAGAGTTCTTAAGCAGAGAAGAGACAGCTGGACAACTTTTTGCAGCTGAGACTACCTCACCTTCTGCACTAGCATTTTAAGAGGGACAGGTTTACGAATAGACAGATATTAAAAAAAAGAAAGACATTATTATCTTCCTTGTTCTAGACAGTGTCAGACTGTCCCGCAATTGCCTCTGGCAATTTTTTCACCTACAAAAAAACATCTGGAGACAAAGAACTATGCTGCGGGGGAACAACTCCTTTCCTATGCACACGACACTTGCACTAGGTGAGAAGCGGACATAAGAACTACAGATTCCAGACACATTCTGACAACAGCTGCCCCACACATTGATCCATCCTTGGATGAGCAGCTGGTACTTTCACTTTGATGGGACAGGAAGGCAAGTGAAGTTAACAGGAGGAGGAGACAGCATCCAACTCGTTCACCAGCACAAAACAAGTAGCTGGAAATCCACCTCTGAAGGCTTGATAAGACACCACAGCTTGCTACTGCACTCCTACAAGGAGGCCACGGAAGCAGTAGGCAAGAGGAAAATTATACTTTATACTTACTACACCACTGCTACTAATATTTTAAAAAAGCAGCAAAAACATGCACACGAAGAACGTCTCTGCCTTCTCAGCACAGCTTATTTCCACCCTACCCCCCAAAAAAAAAACCAAACCCAAAAAGAAACTTAAAATCTATTTTCGCATACATCACCTACATATAACAACGTTGTATAATCAAATGGATCATTTAGGCCAGCAGTTTGAAGCTTGCAGGTGCCTAGATCACAGAACTGCACATCAAAAAGGAGAAGTGCCCTGATCAATTTCCAAGAGAAGGCAAAATTTAACACCTCTCATCAAAAAAAAAACAAACCCAAAAAGAAACTTAAAATCTATTTTCGCATACATCACCTACATATAACAACGTTGTATAATCAAATGGATCATTTAGGCCAGCAGTTTGAAGCTTGCAGGTGCCTAGATCACAGAACTGCACATCAAAAAGGAGAAGTGCCCTGATCAATTTCCAAGAGAAGGCAAAATTTAACACCTCTCATTTGCTGAACTATGTCACTCTTCCTAAATGCTTAAATTGGCGGGAATCTCCTGCAGCTGCCTCCCATGCTTTTTCTAAAGTACTTGGAAGTGCAAAAAGAACAGCTTCTCTAAACATCTTTTTGAAGTCTGCAAATACAAGAAGCTTGAGTTTTCTGTAACTAAAAGTGGATAACCTACCTGTGAAGGTGGTAGACAAGACGTAGTCAGTGCAACATCTAATAACATTTTACTGTAATCCGTTCACAGAGGGCTTGTAACAAATAAGCAAGAAACAAGACAGAGGACCAAAGCTTCAGGAAAGCAAGCAGGCAGGATGGCACAACAGCTTAAAGAAATAGATTCTGAAAGTAAAATGACAGGTCTCTGACAGGTCAAGACAGGGAGGGTTTTCTCCAGAAAGAAAAAAGTGACAGAACATGCAAGAACCAGCAAACAGAAAATAGAGTGCTTTA